CGGGCGGGCGGGCGTGCGGGCGTGCGGGTGTGTGTGTGTGTGTGTGCGTGTGTGCGTGCGCGTGCACGTGTGTGTGTGTGTCTTTGCTGTTGTTTGCGGGTTCTACAAGATGCTATCCAACGACTCGAACTACATCAGGTGTTCAGATTTCTCGCGAGCTGCTTGGACACCCCGCACCGACTTCCGTTTGCTTTTCTCTGTGCCGCGGCACCCTCAGCTGCGGAGCACAGGGCATACTGACTAGATGCTTTGAGATTCGAGAGCACCCATCCATCCTTATCGTCACCAGTATTTTGACGAAGGTCGCCATCATGTCCGCTACGGAAAGCTAAACCTGGGGTTTTATCTATCGGTACATCGTGTGCAAAAACCCTGGTTGAGATCCGGGCGGGGGCCTGGGGTGAGTTAATCAAGGGATCTGCAATCTACATAGTGAATATTACTCTGAGAAAGCGGACGTTGTTTTACCGTCCTCACCTCCGAAAACTTGGATGGGGACCTTGGTGCGCTGGTTGCTGCGGCACGTTACTTGGGACATAAGTATGGTTGAAGTGGTTCGCTTTCCATCTTTGTGACCTGCCTCGAGCTGATGTCGGTTCGTGCCTGAATCTGCTTGCATTCAGAACACCGACTGTGCAGCATTCTTCCAATATTCGAACATTCGGATTCAGCAATGTGGCTGCGATCAAGCAAAAACTCACATGAGCCAACTCAAGTGTTCGGTGTAAGTGATCGGTGCTGATGTCAGGGCATGAGTTGGGAAAGCCGAGGTCCTCCGGGTGTTCCTAGTAAGCTACACCTGCAAGACCTCGAACGGTTCCCGTGAGGTGTCCCTGGCTCGCCGTTGCCATGACACCCTCGAGGAAGACCAACTTGAGCTCTTTTGGAAGGCCAGTCCTAGGGTTGAGGTTAGTTGATCGAAGCCTAAGAATAGAGCCGACCCGGATACGGGCTCAGCACATGTGCTGCAAAGCTAGAGCATCGGGAGACGCATCTAGAAGCTCATGTGACTTTGAGTTCTAGGCTCGCTGCATGCAGCCTTGCACTGAGGCTGGTTGGCATGCCAGCAGGTAGGCGAAGTGACAGCGGCAAAACTATCGTAATTAGACTTGACGGACAGGAGAACAAAGAAACATACTCCGAAGGAGAAGCAGAACAGAAGTGGACAGGGAACGAACAATGCAGCCACTGTTTGTGGCGCGCTGGCTTTTTTGTTAGCACCGACAGTCGTCTACTAATCAATCTCAGTTTTGTATCGTTGTGGAGTGTCGGCGTGCCTACTCCAGCTGACGCCAGGTAAGCCTGGGAGACTAGCACCACTTTGCACCCGAATCTTCAAGCTGCGAAGTTTCGTCGGGGAAGTCGCCTCCAACCCAAGAAGGGGTTGCTGTTGCAAGGGTCGCAGCGCTGTGGAGCATCTTACCACGAAGTTGAATGCCGAGCGGCAGAAGGTGTCTACAGCAAGAGAGAGCCAGGTGCCTTGCCCTCAAGTTCGGCACAGGTTTCTGTTGCATTGCTATCTTCAGCGGTGTGTTCAGCTTCAGTGTGAATTTGCGTACGTTCAGTTGTACTGAGCGTTTTCGTCCTGCCACCTAGAGATTTTGAAGCGACCCTGCAAAGAACCGGGGCGCATCTGCAGCACGTTGCCCGGAGATACTTTCTTTCCCACCATACCGGACACGACACCGCCTATCATGAACCTCGCGGTCTACTTTCTTCACTGCAGAGTAAACCTCTGACCTTTGACATTCTTCCAGCAGCGTACATGCGACCATGACAGTTTGATGCAAGGCACCGGTGAAGCTGATCAACCCCAAGTTGATCAAGTCCTCGCCAGACCAGAAGCTAATCCCAGGCTTCGCCACTCGTTTCTGCCATGGGTTGGAGACGTTGAGACGGGTGAGTGTGTGTGTGTGTGGGTGTGNNCCCCCCCCCCCCCCCCCCCGTGGCAGCATTTTTGTAAGTTCCAAAACTCTGGGCAATTGCCACCAAGCGCTGAAGTAAAGCTTTTAGAAGCCTTTGATTCGAGGTTTTTTATGGTGAGGTCCGGGCTAAAGGCGGTCAATCGCTTGATGAGAAGGTAGCTTCCAGCAAGGGATCATCCCTGCAATCGTATGGGCTTCAACGGTTTTGGAGCTTCAGAACCCGACGTCCCGTGTCGTTGACTTCTGTACCGGCTGTGTGCAGAGATTGAGAGCATGGTGCAGGGATTTGTAGGGTTGGTTTTCGCCTTCGGTTCTGGTGTTTGAGACACTTGCTTGCCAATATATGAAGCCAAAATGACTTGCTCATGCAAGAGCCTTACTAGTTGCAGCCAAGTGTCGCTTGATGTCACCCGTATCACGCCCGATAGGGGAAGCATATGGACAGTTCACTCGCGCTCGATGTAAGCTTGATATGCCCGACATGCCTATCAGCCTCCCCGCCTTGCCCAAGATTGAAGAACTCGTCGAGCTCCAGCTTCGCATGCAACCTCAATATCCGTTTGGTTTGCAACGGGCGGCTGGGTTCCTCGTTTAGAGCACGCTGCCCCACATGCAGAACAGCAGGAGACAAGTGGGAGCTTATCAACTTCCTTCCGCACGTCTTCCCGATGTTCGAGGGTCTTGCAGAGGACAATCTCTCTTCAGCAGCAAGTATTTAGCATGATTGCAAAACTCCAATGCGTGTCAGGGCTCAGCCATGCAAATCTGACGCTTTCTGCTGACATTGTGGGTGGTCAGATGCAGCACTGCGGAAGGGGCGAGTCTGATGAAGCCTCCTACGACCTGTGCCCTGAATTCCTGAATCTCTGGCAACCTTTTTGCATTGTCAACATCTTGGCCCCTGCCTGGTATTGAGCGCTGTCAGCACAACTGCCCAACTTGACTTCTAGGGGACACCATGAAAGAGACGGGATCAGTTCTCACCTCTCCTTCGGCTCGGCGTTTCAAGCACATGTGAGCTGCTTGAAGCCTCCAGACAGGAAGACCTGAAACAGTACAGCACTAGACCTGTATAGATGTAGCAATATAATAGTCCAAAAAGCCATAGATGATAATCGTGACTATGATATAAGAGTGGGCATAGCCCTCAAAGAAGTCTTTTTCTGAGAAAGACCATGAAACAAATTTCTTCAGCCTGGAAATCCTCAGACCCAGATCCTGCAAGGCCCTTGCCCTCGGTAAATTTCGGCCTGATATGAAAAAAAAAGCCCATCGCAGGGAGCTTGTAGGCCCCGACATCCAACAGCCGGGCACCATGTCCTGATTGCCCCCTGCTGTCGATGCAAGCTGCCGGCAGCCGGTGCCTGGCCCGCCTGGACCAACCAGAGGCTGGTCGTATCAGCACCTCGCAGGGTATGGTTGCCAGTCCAGTCAGCAAATTCAAAGCGAAGCCGAATCGGCGCACCATCCGTGTTCGAGGTAGGAAGGCCAATAGAGGCTGTAGCATCAAGCCTGAAACGAGTTGAACTCGCCACACATAATCACTAGCAGCATCCCCATCACCCTCATCATCGTCATCGTCATTGCCTTCTGAGAGCACAAGCAGACAAAGAGCATAAAAGAGCGGTTTGCAAATTGATCAAAAGTATGAGTGGGAGGCACTATAGTACCAAAGCATCCTTCCAGTGAGAATTGCTGCCACAAGCGATCTTTGGTCTGATCGCCTGCGCGTCGGACGGACTCGTCATAGACGGCTCACGTAGGACCGAGACATATACCGGAATGATTTCTAGCATGCTGAGAGTTCTTCTTTATTCAGCATGAGTAAGAGCAAAAGGCGACGAAGGTTCCACAGATGCACCGACATTCGGAATCTAATATCGTGCCAGACAAGGAATGTAGTACGGAAGACGAAGCACAAGCCTCATAAAGCTGATTCAGCTGATCATACCATACAGACAGCCGTCTAGCACAGGCGCCAGTTTTTCTTCGTATAGAACCGATATTTCTCACAATCTTAGCTGTAACGGTCAGTCTTGTATTAGACATGCAAAGACTTATGACTTGTAACTTATTCCTCAATGTCCTGTTATCACGATGTACACTAGTGTGCACAAAGAAGGTTACGAATCAATCCCTATTCTGTTCGTGAAGGCTAGGCGGCTGAGCACCTGGCAGCGGCGCGTCATGGCGCCACTATGCCTAGGTGAGCCTGGTAAGGATCATGTTACTTGCTAATGCCAGAGACGGACGACCACATTAAGATCTCTGTCACAGGGACAGGGTCCAATGTTTGTGCTTCACTGCAAGCCCTGGACGTAGCGGTTTCGTCCGGAGGTCCCCGCTTCTTTGTATGCTGTGTTCATGTTTTCCTTTCAGGGCAGTGGCGGCTCCACCCTCGGTGCCCCGAACCGAGTGTCGGCCACGGCAGAATCATCGGCGAGCTGAGGAGCGATCGGTGATGTACTTTCGAATTCTTTGTTAGCTTAACTGTGTAAGAGTTGACTGTAGAGTAGGCTACCTTTCCACCCCGGCCTGGCTCTCCGAAGCAGTGGCCGACGAAGCCTTGGGTTGCGCTTTTTGTGGACCATGCCCTTTTGGCCGGGACGTTTGCATTCAGGACTTGCGGGTTTGGAGGTTCAAGGTCGGATGCATGCCTTTTCTTGTGAAGGCTCCTGCAGCGATCTGGAGGCTTTCCCTGACAGAGCTACGGCTGCTGTGCATCAACGGCTGCTTTTTTTGCTGACGTCATGAGTCTGTTCTGCCGTCCGGGTCATACAGTGTTGCACCCCAGAGTTTCAGCAAGCACGCCGGCTAAAGGGTTTGTTCTTATGTTGACGTGGTTCAGCAAGCATAGGCCCTCCTGCGTTCGTCGAGGTCATGTCATGGGATCGCTGCAGGCCCTTGTTACAACTTCTGATTGTTCATGGACCATCGGAGCCTGTTCTATGAAGCGAACTGGGTTCGTTGAAATGCCCCCCTTCGACGTGTGTCAGAGGTAGGACTGTCAATGTTAAGGTTGGGCGTGTCGGCCTGTGGAATTTGCTTTGAAGGGAGAAGGGACCATGATTCAAAAACAAGCTCCAGTCGCCGATGCCTATTTCACGATCGCTTGCGCACCATGTAGCTCGCAGTTAAAGTTGTTGTTGACGAGCGAACCTACCATCATTAGATGACCTAACCCTTCGTGTCCAAGGGACGGTGCTCGCACATCGGCCGATGCGGAGCTTCTTCGTCGGAATGCAGCCATGGCTGCCTGCAGGCGGCCGTTGGGGTCTTCAGAAATTATGTGAAGACTCGCCTGAGCGAGCCCGGCGCAGGCAAGCACTTAAGTCCGACGTGATGGCCCTTGCAAGACTGCAAGCCTCTGTCATTCCGTCTGTGTTATTGTACATACGTGCCCTGACGTTTGTTCAAACATGCCCGCATAAGAGTAACAAGCAGACTACGCATATCCTTCAAGGCAGACATGCACAAGTGCAGCAAGCAGAAATGTTAAACAGGGCTAGGCTCCTTTCTGCAAGCACAGTGGTAGCTGCTCATGGTCTCCGAAGTTGCAAACATGGAGTGGTAGTTCCAACAATGCTGAGTGTCTCCTCCTGTCGACGGTGACTCATAGATAGAATGAAGATACCTGATGGCCGAGCGAGGAAGGCTTCACGGTGGCCTTACACTTTGCATCTCCTCCGTCGTCCGCCGTCGCCGGATGTGGTGAGTCCTTCGGATTGGAATGGTTGAATCTGACATACCGAGAGATGTGTAGTCGACCGAGTCTATTTTTTTCAGATGTGTGCTGGGCCCGGTGTTCCATGAGCATGAGGCGAGAGGTGAGGTGTGGCTGCCTTCTCTGCCTAGGGCCCTTAGCTCTCTAGCTCATTGAACATTTCACGGGCTTCTGATTGGTATTGGCTTCGGCAAACCCGGCAGTAGGCAGTGCAAAGCAGGAATCCGTTAGTCGTGTTTGCCTAGTCATAGCAGAGAGATTAAACTTTCGTTGATCCTGGCAACTTCTACACCGCCTTACCGGCTTCAGGCTTCAACACCGCCATCATTGCTTGCAACTCCCGACTGCGTTGGCCATGCGCCGTTGACCTCCTTGGCAGCCTTGAGGCTCAACAAACGCTAGGTGTTCAAGTTTCGGGCTGTCCTAAACCGGGACCTCTAGGAATTGCTGCACGTTCTGAATCTTAAGCTGGACATTGAAGTAGAATTGAGCTACCCACACCGATGACAAAATGCTTGTGTCGAGTGCAGCTTGGGTTTTCCGCGGAACTATCGTCAGTAAACGGCAAGCTGCATGGCAACAGGAATGATGCCAGTCAGTGGCACTCAAAGCCAACACTGTGGACTGCGTACGTTGTACGAGAACTGAGTTTGTTATCACGGGGAAAGGGAGCCACGTCTTGATTCTTGTTCGTGCGTGAAAGAATGCATTGCACCTAGCTCCTCGAACAAGCATCCATCATATGTCCTAGCCCCGTCCGCCGAAGCATGCTCGTGTCGTTGTGGGCACTAGTCAAGCCTTTCAAGCTGAAACGTAACGCCTCGCGCAGATGCGCAGCCTGCAGACCGACGCCGCTCGGGAACTATCTATGGCTTCAGGAGGAGAGGAGTTGCAAGCACTATGCATTCGCTGGCGCTGCTGCTGGTGGCGGCAGCGGCGATAGTAATGTTGCTGTTGCTGCTCTTGTTGTTGTTCTTTCTGCTGCTGCTGCTGCTGCTGCTGCTGCTGCTGCTATTCCTGCTCCTGTTGCTGCTGCGGCTGCTGCTGCTGCTGATCATGCTGCTGCTCAGCTACTCCTGCCATCTCCTGCTCCTGCCACTACTGCTACTACTTCAGCACTCCATCTTTGCTACTTAAACTAAGACTACTACTGCTGCCACTACCACTACCACTACCACTACTACTTCTGCTACTATTATTATTATTATTAGTATTATTATTACTACTACTACTACTACTACTACTATACTACTATACTACTATACTACTACTACTACTACTACTACTACTACTACTAGTAGCAATAGTAGCAGTAGCTGTGGTTGTGGCAGTGGACCATGCAATACCAAGTTACACAGCATGGAAGTCAGCGTAAACATCGCCACGAATGCATCTGGTGACACAAAATTCGCGTTTGGTTGGGTGCTGTATTTCTAAATGAACACATCATCAGCATACATATAGCCTGATCATGGTGATAGTCGCTGCGTGGTCAGAACTTGGGCACAGGTCATTGGACTCAATTCTGCGATCAGCGCAGCCGCGGCAGATCAGGACCTTTTTGCTGGGACTGGGTAGGATTCGAGGGGTCTGAGGTAAGCACGTCATGCAAACCCTGAGCTCGGACATTCTCAGTCTCAACCAGGCGTGTCTTCGGGTGTCGTTTTGCCGCGAGGGGCCGCAACTGAAGCAATAAGGCTGAACCTATAGACCCAGCCCGAATATGTTGTAACTCGATGAGCCTAAGCCCAAACCCGAGAGCACGGCGCGGACTATGTGGCTCCACGCAGGCCTGGCGCCGGCCTCTGTGTTTGCTCCATAGCTTCGGTGCCCGACAACTCGCAGCCTCGGTCCCTTTGCTGCACTGCACGGAGGACAAAGGAATTGCATTCTTTCTAGTTTTCGGGTGGGTAACAGATTTGGGCATCAGGGCCGTTTGTGATTGTGTGTGTTTGGGTCTTTCAGGTTGGAGGTTTCGAGGATTGGAAGTGTTGTGGGGTCAGCCGTGCGATCACGTGATGTTTGGATGGCCTCGGGGATCAACAGCGACGGATCCAGGAAACCATCCCAAACAGCATTAAAGGTGAACCTTCGCCACATTCAAGGCATTCACCAGCAGTGCTGCAACCTCTGCCTGTGCTGTGGCATCCCAGTGGCAGGCGCTTCAGCACATGAAACCTGGAGGATCGTGGCACTTAGATGAGGTGACAGACCGTGCATTTTGGTAGCTTGCAATTTGCGGAGCGGTGTTCCAGGCTGGGGCAGGGAATTCCGTGCTGTAGTGGGTCAGAGTTCTAAAGAGTTTCTGTGCTGAAGACATAAACATTGACAGTCATGGACATACGCTTACCCAATCACCGGCCGCGGCGATATGACTGGCAAGCAGCACCAATTTTAATCACGATTTGACATCGTTCTCCGCATCGTAGTGGGTAAAATTCATACCATTTCATCCCACTTCGTCGCATACCTAAGTTATTGCCACATGTAAGAACTATCAGCGTGAGAACTTCGACACATTTCGAGCACGGAATATATACCACAGGCCAATGCCAGGCCCTGGATCCCCAAGCCCCAAGGCCCCGGATAGGTTCCAAACATACAGAAGAAAAGCAGCTATATTATGTTATATTATACTATATTATATTGGTTAAAGCCAACATCGTCCGAGCCTGAAGGCTGCTCTTCAAGTGCCTGAGTCCTTGGCCGTCTGCAGGGTGGCGCATACAGCGGAGAGCATCTCCACGCAAAGCAGCATTTCTCAGATCTGTAACGGCGGGATTAAGCGTAAGGTTGATCTTCAGTATTCCATCGCATCGCAGCCATAGCTAGCATCATAAACGAAGATTGTGGGAGGCTCTTGGAGTACGACGAGACAGTAAGTGATTTGGCCTCTACAGATGCTCTAGAGCAGACTGCATCGGATGCAGTTTCATGCAGCCGCTGGGATCTTGTACAATGTTGCCTAGGAATCCCGACATCTCGGAGATGCCAACCCCGTTGAAAGAGCTCGAAACTGAAAGTCCAGAAGGCAGCGTCGAGCCTCCAAGTGACTATTGTAGCGGCGAGATCGGTACACAACAAGAAGCAGGTTCACTGAGACCTTGTCGTTTTTTCTCTCTCGAACTCCCGATGCTACTCTACTCCTGCTTTGCTACTGCAAAGACGGGCAGTGACTAGCAGACGCTAGTAATGCATTAGGCATGTTCCTCAACTTGCTGATAGCACCAGCTTCATGTGTTGTGGCCTACTTGCTCGAGTACTAACGGCTCGTCCATGTACCCACCGGACCAGAACCAACAACACCAAAATAAACACCCCCGCCGCCGTCCCAAGACCACCGGCACCAACCCCGAGATCGCCAACCATACCGGGCTCCCCGTCAATGCTATCACCAGCAGCAACATCGTCATGACTTTAATTGGTGCTGATGATGATGATGATGTTGCTGATGCTGGCAATGATGATGCTGATGATGCTGCTGACGATGATGGTGGTGGTGGTGGTGACGGTAGTGATGGTGATGTTGTTGATGATGATGCTGCTGATGATGATGGTCATGATGATGAAGATGATGATGATGACTGCGATGCTGATCGTGGTACTGATTGGTGGCTCAGGTCTCAATGCAGCGCTGTCCGGCTGTGGCAAGGTTGGTGCCTGGGGCAAAGCCTTCGCTTTGGTCTCTTCGCTGAGGCGAGAGGAGGGTCCACAGTAGAGAAGCCAAGGGAACTAGGATAGACTCTGATAGACGCAGGAATCGGTTGTCCCAGATTTCTTGTAGGAGTTTTCTCATTGATTCGGGCGGTGAATTCTTCGGACGTTCAGTTCAAGTCTGCAAGGACGTGACTAAGGGAACATCGTCTGCACAGAATGTGTGCGCTGGTTTCGCTAGGCATAAGAAGCACAGCATCGCTAATTATTTGTTTGTGTTTTGGTTTGCATTGTTTGGGGTTTGTTTAGGGCAAGGTCGCCGTTCTACACGAATGCCAACTATAAATCTATGCACACGTATCACATCACACCATACGATACCATAACATATCATAACATGTCTTTACAAATCATATGCAAAACACGTGTACATACACATGCATGTATACTTATACACACGTATATACATGTGTGTGCACAGTTACCATGTAGGATGTAGGTATGTATGTACAGTTACATATGTAGATAGATAAGTCCGTGCAAGTGTGTAGCTCATGATGTATGTATGTATGTATGTATGTATGTATGTATGTATGTATGTATGTATGTATTTCATGCATGCATGCATGTTTGTATGTATGCATGTATGTATGCATGTATGTACTATGTATGTAGTATGTCTGCAACTGTATGTAAGCAAGTATGCATGTGTGAGTGTCATTTATGTATTATGTATGCATGTATGCATGTATACATGCATGTTTGTATGTTTGTATGTATGTTTGTATGTATGTATGTATGTACGTATGTATGTACATACATGTATGTATGTATGCATGTATGTATCATGTGTATTTAAAGTCTTTGACTCAGAAGCAATTCTCCAACGTGGCGTGTTTCAATTCCGACGCTTGCTGGACTGCGAAGCTCCCCCAAGCACGGCGACGAGTGCTTTTGCGGATCTCGACCAGGGGGTGTTGTTTGCTCGAAGTATCGTCTGCATTGTAGAAGCAATGCTCGCTGCAGCTGATGTTGCCCTTCCTGCAGGTGCCATGTGCTGAAGCCCGATAAAACAACCTGCCTCTTGGCTTCGAGACTTATAGAGCAGGGCAAGCCTACATCCAGGTTTTCGAGACAAGGAACCTTTGACTCGACCTGTTCTGCGCGCTAGACAGAAGTGCGAGGCAATACGTCGATCACGGCGTGTGCCGCGGGTTCTGCTTGGCTGGTGGCATCTTGGTCGAAGCGGCCAGTTGCACAACTTTGCTGTGGTGTACAGCTCTAGCTTTCCTCATCATCGCTAGACTCCTTGAAGGGAAAGTTACGCATGTGTAAGGCCGCACATGATAAGGCTCTTTCCCTCATGAAGATGATGCGGCACTGGCATCTGCTGCCTACAGCCAGGAAGGATGAAGCTGTACCGTCGTTGTGTTTGCGACAGGTTCGCTTTGAAGTCGCGAGTGGACATGCCCATGTACATGTCGTGCTGATGCCTCTTTTCTATGCAGTTGTTTTCGAACAATTAAATCAGCGGCTTTGCAGGAGTTTGCTGTGTTGAAGGGAGTCGGCGTGTCGGTACACATTCATTATACATTCGGTCAACTTATGTTTGGATGCGGTGGCGTCCTCATAAACTAGCTACCACGCAAGGGAGTTTTCTTGCAGCTTACGCAACGTCGGAACAGCAAACCCATCCACTGTGCATCGGCATGACGTCTCGTGATGTTCATGCATTATCCGTGTAGTTGTCGACAACTACCGACATGCGACGTATTCTTATGTGACCAACTCAAAGAACCACCATCTGCCAATGACTGAGCGCTACATGCTTTGTCGGCCACAGGAAGTTTGGGACCTCAGGTAACAACACTGTAAAATATCTTGTGCGACCATCACCTTGATGTCTCAAGGCTTAGCAGGCGTTTACAATCGGACAAGCATGGTCCTGGTTTATGTTGCCTTAAGCTTTCATAGCTGTGCCGGGCCGGTCTTGGTTTCGCCCAGAAGCCTGGGAACACACCGTCAGAGAGGATGCAAAGCAAGCAGACATATCTAAACAGCATATCTAGACGTCTGATAACCCAGCAGGCTGCACAGAAGAAGCGAAGTTGCGCTTTGGTCAGAGTTTCTACTCCGGAGGTGCCCAAATGCCCGTGCTTCGGATGCAACTTCTACTGTAGACTTTCCCAGATAAGTAGGTTAGTATAAGGCACGGCGATGGCCCACCCTGCACTAGATGCTGCAAACAAAGCTTTTCTCATGTTTCTCAGGTGCCAGCTCAAAGTGAGAGGGCCCGAGAGATCCTCGAAAACCACTTCAAGATTCTGCCGCCTGCCAAAGCTTTGTATCCGCAGGACTACCGTGGCGACACTGGGCAGCCTGGGGCTGTTCTGGGCGCAGGCTTCGCTGCTCTTGGAGGCCCACAGCACGAATCTACAAGGCAACTGCTATACTGCTATACCCAGCAGCGACTACGGTCTAGCAGTCTTTACGAGCATCTGCGAAGCTAGCAGTCGAGTAGAACTGTAATGTTTGATTAGGGCACCTTTGTTTGAATTGTCGGAGATAGCACACGGACTTCCGAGGACGGGTGATGTTCAGTAAGGCACGCAACCGGTTCTGATTCCTGAACTACTGGATCTTAAGGTGCTGCCTCGCCCTGAGCAGGAGGTATTTGCGCATACGTCCGTTGTTGCCTGTCAAAGTGCTGATTACTCGCGGTCGGTGTTTATATAAGGCCCGATCCTAAGCAGCCAGTCTCCAATCTCTACATATTCGACTTCCTGGCAAAAGTGTCCTCGTCTGACAAGATTCCAAGCACTAGCCCAATCTTTCTACAACAAACCAAAACCAAAAAAAGCAGCATCTCAACATGCGTAACTCAAGAGTAGCTGTATCAAGCAATAGGCCCCAATAGGCGCCCATAGGTGCCCTATAAGCCGCGACAGGATCAGCCTGGCTGCGGCCGTGACGAGATCACGGCCAGCGCAGCTGCGGCCAAGCTTCCCTGGCCGACAGTCCCTTTGCTTCTTAGTGCGATGTTCAAGGCTTCGCACAGATGTGCTGGAACAAAGTCAAATTGGATGTAGTAGTACTAGTAGTAGTAGTAGTAGTAGTAGTACTACTACTACTACTACAACTACAACTACAACTACTACAACTACTACAACTACTACTGGTACTACTACTACTAC